TGATAGCTGATAACTCACCAACACCAAATGTTGTTACAAGAACCTAAGAATATAATAAAAATAAATAAATAAATATGATTAATATTTAGATTGTGATCTATAGCTGACTCCAATGCCACGAATACGTGCGTAACCATCAGCTGCATACGATGCATTCAATTCATTACAATTATTACCCCACTGAATACCATCAAAGTCTATGGAAATGATAAATAATCATAAAAATAAAAAACGAAAATGTTCATTAATAAATAAATGTCACCTTCAATTTGATCAAGGAATGGCTGAAAAAAACCAAAGAAAAACAAAAGCTATTTTTCAATCATAAAAATGAGAAATATTTTACCAAATTATAATCACCGGGTACTCCAAATATAATGTCAACATCCAATGATTTTAAACGTCGAAGCAAATAATTACCAATAGTCATTTTTTCATTCTTAGAGGACATTTTTTTTTTAAGATTTAGTTCGTTTGAAACACGTGTTTTGATCTGAACTTTAACTGGGTATATATATATACGGCATAACGTACGTAACGACCTTTTTTCTTTCCTCTGATTTACTTGAAACACTCAGACGACGCATGTTCCTCCGTTGTAACATACAAGCCTATTCATAGAACTTTGTTCTTCGAGAAACATGTACTATGACAGAGAATCTTGAAAAAAAAATGATATATATACTTACATACATATATAACTGGAAAACTCGTTGAAGACTATCATGAACTGTTGAACGAAATTATTACTTAGATGTTGTAATTAATGGAATCTTAGTCTTCACTTCCTTACTTACCATTGTTATGTTCTGAACAACTTCGAATTTGTCATAAGTGATACATATTCAACTATTTCTAATAGATTAGAACTATCCATGCATCGAACCTAAGAGTAGCTCCTCGATATAGATTATGCGGTTAAGAATTGATGACTCTTGTTTATTATGGAAAACTTCATCAATTAAATGTCACTTGTTAATATATAAGTTTTATGCAAATACTGATCAATTGTATAATTCGTGTGAGTCTTATATTTACTCTTTCTCTGTCTAACTCATTACTGTATTAGAACAATAGTTTCATGAAGTCAATTTGTTCGATATTCACTTGAAATATGAATAGATTTTCGAATTTATTCTACTATTGATTTCAATATTTTGCTTTTTTAAGTCAATTAATCAGTTTACTTATTAAAATTTTGTTGACAATACACAAATGTATTTGAAATAAAAGAAAATAACTTGTTGCTATGTAATGGTAGGCTCCAGTAGAAGAAATCAACAATAGAATGTTTAATTAATTTTTATGGAACATTTCTTCTATAGCTTATGTCAAAATAAAACTATTTGAAAAAAATAGAATTAGCTCAAGGAAACAGTTATTATTCGATGAAAAAATGCATATTCACGCTATTATTCGTTCATATTGTTTTATTTAGAAAAATAACTCATATTTACATACGCTTTCTTATCAGATTATTATTTTCTGAAGTCTTTTTTTGTTTCAAATGATAGCTTACTTAAAAAAATTTTCATTCATAGATAATGTTGATATTTTATTGTTCGTTTATTTTTAACTCATTTACAAAAACTTCTTATAATAATAAAGAAAAAGAGTATTCTGTGACTAATCCAATAAATAAGATGAAAATAAATGAAAAATAAATTGATAAAATAATTGGCTCTCTGCAAATCGATGTTAAAACTTAAATTGCACATCTGATAGTTTTTTTGTACCCATTCACATCCAATGTGAATGTTTGACCTAGATCAATCAAGGTCAGAAAAGTATGATTGAGATAAGCTACACACACAAAATCACCATTGCAATAAAAATACACATAGCCTCTTTAAAGATGAAAGAGGGCGTTCCATATCACGTATGAAATTTTCACATGCGCTGCGCTTGTGTATATCAGCATTGAAAAAGCATTAGTGCACAAAAAATATTCCTAATTTTCTTATTCTTAATGTTATGCAATTCGAGTTATATTACAAAAAAAGATATTAAAATTGAATGAATAAACACCGAATTATGTCGAACTTTTTTGTTGAAGTACACTGCAAATGAATAGTATAAAATTTATTTTACATAAATACAGAAAAATCTAAGAAATACTATTTCTCTTTTTTTATCATGCAAGTAAAAATTGAATAAAT